AGGCTAGCACATATCTGTCATGTAGAAAACTTACAATAAATATATTTTGAATATAGGAATACACAAAGTTTGAAAAAAAATTGGCACTTCTGCCAATACTTAATTTTACCTGTGCTAATTTAATTATATTAAATTAGATTTAATGTAGCCACTGATTCTTAGATGATCATGTAAAGGGTGAAACTATGTATGCGTATATCAATAAAAAGTATAAGACTTTAAAAGACTTAAAAATGAGAACACACATTTATAATATTTTTAATTGTATTATAGGAATACACATGATATCCTTTAGAAAATATGATCTACATACCTGACAGGTAATGTTCTGTCTCCTTTCCGCCTATCCATTTCTCTTTGTGGAACAGGATACCAACGGAAATTCAGTTTCCAGTTAAAACCCCCATAAGTCATGTCTGACCCAGCCATATATTCAAAGGTATCATCACTAATCACATCAATGATGGGACATACAACTGTTTTCCTGCAGAAAAAGTAAAATCAGTTTACATATAATTAATAATTTAAATGTCACATTAGCTTCTTCAAACTCGATATAGCCGATATGTTGAAATTTAATTATTTTGTGACTTTAATATGCTTTTATTTTTATTTTGTAATTTCTATCTATGAAATTATTTCCTTTTACCACATCTTTCTTATAGTCTACTTTATACAGGTATAATCTAATCAAATATAGTAACTGATCTTCAAGCTGATTTCAAATGCAGTCTAAGTACTAACTCAGAAGGATGAACATGGCATATTTTTCATAAGACCTCCACCCACAGTAAGATTAATATATGTGCTTTGATAATATGCATCATTTTAGCTATTTATTTTATAGAAAAGTAATAGCATGCAGGGACCGGAGAACAGATGATTAGAAATTAGATCCGGTAGTCTGAATCTCAGAGGGATTAGGTTAGTTTAAAGAAAGGGTTCTAAGAAAATCTTCATGGAGAAAATATCTACCAGGAAAAACAAACAAAAACCAACAAAATGAAACAGCAATAAAAATAATGATTATCAGTATAAGTAAATGTTTCTTATGAAAGATATTAGAGTCACGGCAATTTCCGAGTGAATTGTCTTAGACTTATGAGTTTATAGTAACAATCTACATATTTTAAGATAGAGAAAGATAAGCAACTTCAGTTTCTGGTGTTATCCCATAACCCATCTTAAAGTAAGAGGAAGAGCCAGAAGATTTGCTGTTTTGATGGTGGCTTTTTAGGGTAAGAAATTCTTCTGCGTGGGAGATCATTAGGTACTCTTTTAATCCATCTAGTGCCTTCTCCAGTCTTCCCTACTCCCAGTTTATATGTTTTCTTATCAACCTTCCGTCATCTCTAAAGCAAAATTCAGGTCTACCCAAGTTCTCATGGGTTGTAACTAAGTCTAAAGAGCAGAGCTTATTTTTCATATTTGGTAGAAGGTAAATATACAAATATGCTTTTGAATTATCCATACATGTGAAAAGTAAAGAAATGGCCATCATTTATTCTGGTTTTGTAATACCAGTATTACCAATGCTCATTTTCATTTGAGTGTTATATTCCACGCAATTGATCAAAGCCTGGAGTTCTTTGAAGTCAACAAGGTTCATCTAGCCTTGGAAAATCTTCTTGGTAATGCTGGTCCTTACAAAATCAACGTATTTTTCTCTTTCTTCATTAAATTTAATGATTTAATTTGTAGGAAGATGAAATTAGATCTAACAAACTTGAACAGAACTTTATTATCTAGTAATGGAAACTTTAGAACTTACAAGTAGGACAAGACATTAGAGATCATTATACGAAAATACAATTTAAATCTGTTGTTAAATTAAAAAATAAATGATCTATGCATGACCATATTGAAACAACATTATATTAAAAAATCACTTAGTAGGATATGAAACACATGTTTTAAAAAGCAGCATAATGTATGAAATGTTGCCAGGAAACACATTTAAGATGTTCCAAGTTCATTTTACTTTGCCAGTCTTATCCTCATGTGGGTATTATACAATACACGGAGTGGAAAATGTTATTAGCTATGTACTACATTCAGTTGACTAAAAGAGTCTTACTGTTTTCTTCAACTGCTATGGTTCATTTTACTGACAACCTCCATTCATCTTCCTGGCAAGTACCAAATCCTGCCATATGTATGAATGTAGCTGGGCTAGCTCACACTAAGCAGCCCCTGTCTTGGATGCTTAATTAAAAACTTCAATTCTAGAAAAACCTTTCTACTGTAGGTGAAATGACTCTGCAAGCAAGGTGTTATGCAGTGCTTTGTAATTATATCAGATGGTATTCAACGTAGATGTCTTCAATGAGTGCTTAGGAATTATACTCATTTATCACTAATGTTTATAAACATCTCCACAAAAAAAAGCTTATACTGCATAGCATCATCATCGAAGAGAATTGCAGGTATCCATGAGGGCTCTTAATTTCTATAAAGTATTATTCAATCTTTCAGATTTCACCATTTGTATATACAAAGTGGGAATACTGTTTAAATAATTAAGCTTATTCTTTATAGCTGTGCTTGCTATATATTTTTTTTATCATGATTTTATTTCAGTGTAATCTGTGATTATGTGTGTTTATTTTTAAGATCCTCAAGGTGGTTTGAACTAGACTTTGAATAAGGGCGGCGATCTAGTAGAAATAAGACTGCTCTGGGAATGGAAAGAACTGAACAATTAACTTATTTATTCTTCCCTACTATTAGGTACAGGTAAGAATATCTACATTACCTACCTCACAGGATAGTTGTGAGGATATGATAAGGTTCTTTGAAAATGAATTTTATAAAATTGTATTACTTCAAATTAGACTTATTTCCTTCACCTACAATATGAATATTCAACACATTTTTACTGTTTGAATTATTTTACTACTTCTTAATTAAATATTTATGTTCAGCATTAATCAGAGAAGGTGTTTATTATAGGGGGTGGTGGAGATAGCATTTTTAAAAGCTATTACATAAAATATCTGAAAATAGTAACCTGGAAGAGAAGTTTTGATGGAAAGCCAGAACTGTCCGAACAGGTACAGTCATAACCCAGGAAAACATAACACATAGTTCTTACCTGTCTTCCTTTATTCTCGCCAGCAAGGGCTCCAGCCATCCTAAAGTACATTCACAGTGTGCATCAAGAAAAGTTATGACCTGCCCTTTTGAAGCAGCTGCTCCTCGAAGGCGGGCACGTATTAACCCAGAGCGCTCTTCCATTCTGATAATTTTCACTGGCACTTCTAAATTTTTTACATAATTCTCTAATGTCAACTTGAGAAAATCTGTAACATGCAATAAGAATTTATAAGTTTGAAACTTTTAAGACATCGCAGAGAAACTACTGTCCGGATGAAAATTTAACACACAGAAATAGTGGCCAACTCCTATCAACATTTTTTGCAATAGGTGAAAAAAAGACATAGAGATTTCATCAGTATATTAATGTACAATTCATTATAACTCTATCACTTGGCTGACAAGAATAAGGATAAAATAGAAAGTTAATATAACAGACTCTAATTTAGGAACTGGGCCACATTGGTAAGTGCAATCTCCGTAATTATAAGTTATTTTGCATTTATCCTGACTAAAAGAAAGAAAGAAAAGGCAAGTATCCATAAAGTCATATAAATGCTCAATCATATGAGCAGTTGAGTTTGGAAAAAAATGAACCATTTTGAAAGGCATTTTGGCTGATTTCTTGGGTTAGTAAGAAACAAATGGAATGGTGAGAGAAACTGAAAGAAGTAGTTTCTTATTCCTAGACTTGGCATTGACTAGGTACATTGATGAAAATACACTGATGATGATGGGTGGTTTCAGGGTTAGTATAATTATAAGGAAAATACAGATCATTTCCCAGCTGTCTTTTTTGACATAATAAAGTTTTCTAATTAAAAAAAAAATACAAGAAAAATATTTATACCTCTTTCACTGGCATCATCCACCAAGATGACCTCAGAAAGTAAATAGTGTGGGGAACGATTTATAACACTGTATACAGTTCTAAGGAGAGTGCTCCAAGCTTCATTATGAAACACGATCACTACACTTGTATTTGGAAGTTGATCAGGGTAGACCTTTGTCTTGCATCTGGAAAAAAGTAAAGAAGAAGGATATGTTAATAAATAATTCATTTTTCATCCTGTTCATTGTAATAAAAATATGCATAATAACACAATTTTAGACTTGAAAGGCCCTTACTAAGAAAACATTTTATGAATATCTGAAATAATTTTTCTTTTTATAAATGCTATGAGTAATCAGTTGGCATTTCAAAAATTAAATATGCATAATTACTAATATTTCATTTTAACTCCTACAGGGAACAAAGCAGCATGAATTCCACAAGTCTAAGAAAGCTAAAACAACATTCTGAGACTGTCAGTAGAAGACCAGGTACAGCAAGGACAGATGAATTCATTTAGAAGGTATTCTTTGTTCAGAAAAAAAGAATTATTACGTAACTCAAAAAGTCATAAGAACATAAAAAGACATAAATCCACTGGGTTTTGAAGCATGTAAAACTGAGATTATTTTTCTATTCTCAAATCTAGTCATGCATGCTTTTGATTCTGTTTGAGAAAGCTATAAACCATGTCTACTTTGAAAGATGGGTTTAGGGACCAGGATATATTTTGCAGATTCTCAATTAGTATCTTATAATCAAAATTGGAGATGAGGAAAGAGAATGCATAGGCCACCAGAATTTCTCAAATTTTAATGGGCATAGGAATCACCTAGGGATTTGTTAAAATGCAGATTTTGATTTAGTAAAGTTGGCATGCAGCCTGAGATTCTGAATTTTTAAAAAAGCTTTTAGATAATTCAGATGCTGCTGGTCCCTGAAGCGTACTGATTAGTAAGGGACTAAACCATAGCTGTCATTACTATTAGAATTTGTTGTCTTGACAAAAACTTTTAACTTTACTCTTAAATCCAAAGCAGTTCAGATTTTACTTTTCAAGTAATCAAACCAAAATGGTACCCTAAGATAAATAATATGTGTATTGCTTTTTTGGTCATCAAACATTTAACACACAGATGGTCCTCACCCTTGTTAACTTGAAAACATTCAGCTATTTCTGTCATGTAATTTTAAATCATCATGATTATAGAATATTAAATATATATATATATGCTACTGGGTATCCAGAGCAGGAATAGAAGTTTATTCATCTTAGGTTACTTTTTCATGAAAAATATTCTGAAGAGCTAGAGAATTAAAATTTTTCCATGAAATAAAATGAGCCAGATACTGCTTGCCACTCATGAACAACCTATCACAAAATAAGCATCATTAAAGTTAGTCTCCTTCACAGGCGAATTAAAAAAAAAATCCAATAAAATATGAGAAATGAAGGCATATAATAAAACAAATATTGATTGTGTGTCTATTGAGATTTTAATCATCTTTTAAAACAGTCTAAAATATCACCTAAGCGAGGTCTTCTGCAATATAGCTAGGTAAGAATGTACATATACCAGAACTACAACATTTTTTCTGCATATATTTATTTGAAAAGAATTCATTAAACACCAACAATATAAAATATATTGTGTATATAAGAAAAGAAAAATGTAAAGAGAGAAAGTAATTTGATTCATAATCATCCCTTCTCATTTTGCTGGTAAGAGTCAAGCAATTTCTATGTGCTCTGTCATTTGACTTGTAACTAGTCACTGCATGAACTTAGAAAGCCATCTTGGTAAGTCAGAAAGTTCTCTCCATGATTTCCCTCATCCTCCAATTTTTCTGCCTCATCAAAACACCCCATCATTTTCAGTATGCTAAGCAAAAATTATGATAAAGATCATCATCATCATCAATAAAGAAGCTGGAAAAACAGGCTTAAAGCAGTCTAACAGTAAATAACTACTGGTTTTAAGCTAAGGAAAACAGTCTATAAAGGCTACTTTATTTGGACAAAAGTGATTAATTCTAAACCAATTTTTTTGTATGTTACACTAAATGCCAACAGAGAAAAAAATGAATTTTAATTTAGATAAATCATTTCAAATATCAATAAAAGCAGACATGTAGATTTAGCTTCTTAAACAATTTCTATCATGCTCTACTTTTGTGGTTTAAAAAAAATCTGCTCACAAATGTTAATTTTATAGTCATTGTATGTGACAAAGTTATAATGAACTAATTTACTATTAATGTAGCTATTATGTTTACTTAGAGAAAATTTCCACTGTGTTATTATTTAATGTAGCATGAAAATAAAATGTGGCTAATGTTTTTATTAGTTCTTCCTCTTTTCCCTATGTAAAAAGTTATTTAGCAGAGAAAACTTTGTATAATACTAAAATCATTTATAGGATAATTCTTAAGCTATATAAATTAATAATTTTCTATGTTAGTTTATCTAGTTATCTCAAGTGCAATTGTATATATATGAACTAGAGATATAATATTCATTATTTGTGATGGGTTTGTGATACATTGAGCTGGTATTATTGCTTGTATTTCATCAAAGCTATTGTTTCACCTATGGTAAGATACACATTATTTTATGTATCACTAGGAAAGAAAAAAAAAGTTGTCAAATACACAAATATTTGCATAATGCTATCTTATTAATAGAATCCATTCAATGCTTAAATAAAGCTTATAGAAAAAGGTTTTAAACTTATTTGAACATAGATTTCTATTAAAATTGTTATGTTTGCTTATGAATCAGTCACACCAGTTTCTTGTTGCTGTGTAATTTCTTTTATCTATTTATTCTAAGAGGATTTTTTCTGGTTTAGGTTGTATTGCTTAACATATGAGACACATAACACATATCTCAGCAACAATATATAAAACAGCTTCATCTTCCTTCAGGTATCTTCCTTGGTACTGTAAAATTGTGCTTTTCAAACTTTAAGTTGCGAATAAATTATGTAGGGATCTTGATAAAATGCAAATGGTGATTCAGTAGGTCCGGGATGGGCCCAGGTTTCTAATAAGGTCTCTGATGATGTCCACACTGCTCATCCTTGGATGACATGATAAGAAGTATAGCTATATAAATAAGTCAGCTGTTGACTAGCAAGAAAATACAAAATTGTCATCATTGCTTCAACAATAAATATTTGTGTCATCATATGGAATTTAATTCTTGCCTCTGCCTCCCTGATATTCTTTTCAGACAATACCTTTTTGGTCCAATACTGAATCTTATTGTTATCTCTTTGAAGAAATGCTGGATGATAAACTCTACACATGCATTATATAAACAGTGACCATAACTTAATATGATATATGAACAGCCATGACCAAGCTTAAGAAATACTGTCTACATAACTGTCAGCTCGTAGACAATGACTGGAACTAACCATTGAGTTTAAAACTCATCATGATTTCATACACATAAATTTTATTTTTTAAGTATTTATCCTAGAACAGGTAAATACAATAATTTTTTGTTTAGTCAAGAAAAAGTACTTAAAGTTTTTTTTTAATGTCTTATTTTCTGAGTTGGTAGATTTTTAACTCACTGATTTTTCCAGAAATAATTAAAAACAAACAAAAACCCCAAAGACACCTATATGATGGAGGTGGGGGGAAATACTTAAAATAAATAAATTGAATTTCTCTAATAATCTCTTTTTCCTGACACCTGGCAAACAACTTCTTTGTAATATTACAAGGATAATTTTACCACTGTCTACCTTAGCTCTTAAATCTTTTACATAATAAAATTAAAGAAGGTAATCTGAAATGCATGGTATACATTGCTTGGTCTACACTGCAGAGTAAAGCTCAGTATCTCCAAATTGTGAAATTGGAAAGAACTTTCAAAGTTGACTAATTCAAATTTTCGTTTCACAGAATACAAGTTTCAAGTCGCAGAGCTAGTTCAATACTCTGTAATAAAGTAATAATAATAATAACTTATTATTTAATAAATTAGTAACTAATGATTTCTGCCCCATATTATATGCTGTATCAAACATTTTAAATGATACATTACTGGTGTCTGAAAAATTAGAAAAAAACATTTAAGTTATTAAAAAATACACCTTAATCTTACACTCAAATACAGATCTTTAAATCAAATAGACATAGCCATTCTTCTAAGATCATTTTATTAACACTAAGCATAGAAAGTTAGTTTTCATTGAAATTATGTACATACAAACTAAATACTCTTTTAGCAGCTCTATCTTATGAAGACATTATTTTTTTTTAATGTAAACAGCTAAATGGGATTGGTAAAACTGACATTATTGTGGGAGCACAATGTACACATAATTAACTTTGAGAGCAAAAGTGGCAGACTGCAATAGCAATTTTTATCAATATGAAAGAAATACTTAATATCTAGTACTCCAATTAAGTTCTTGAAATCTGGTATTCCAGTAAAATCATAAGCTTTATCATAGCATTATTTCGAATTTATACTATATTATGACATTCTAAATATATAATACTTAAAAGGAAGTAAAAGTTTATTTCCTTTTAATTTTGTAATAATATATCTGTGGCTCTTAATTTGACTACACATTAGAATCATCCGATGAACTAAAAAAAAAGAAAAAAAAACACTGATGTGTGGGCTTCAGCAACAGAGATTTGGATTATAGTATCCAGGGTCTGGCCATGGGTATTAGAGATAATATACATATCTCCCTTGGAGATTTGAACGTACTGCCAAAGTTGAAAACTGTTACCTAAAGTTATTCACCAGAAACACTGATTTTTAAATATACATATAAAACCTTCTTTTTTGCTTATATCAACATTTTAAAATAAGATGCATAAGGTTAATGTTCCTTTCTATGTTTTTGTCTGATGACATTAGTAAGTCACTATTTTCCTGTAACTGTAAGCCCTGGAGTCAGAAAGTCTTCTCCACACCACTTACAATATCTTCTTCTGTCATCTAGATGTGCATGAATATCGGTCCAGTCTTCTCACTATCAGCTGCTGATTTATATAAATATCTGAGAAATAAATCCAACTTGTTCTACTTCAGAGGGAATTTGTGGGTAGGATCATGTTTTAATGCCTGAAACATGGAAATATAGTGAGATAGTGTAACCATTTACCATCTTTCACTTTGGGTATGCACATGTTATGGGAATATAGACTGTTA